CTAGTGCCTCCCATGTGCTAGGCAACTGCTCTACCATTAAGCCACAACCCCAGGCCCTAGACTGTGCACGAGCCAGGGTTATGTCCCTCAGCTGCTATCCCTGGAACCCCACTTAGGGCTTAGCATATAACAGGAGCTTGATAAATATCCCTAAGAGATTTTATATGATTCAGATGCAATACTTTGATCAAACTTTATTCCTAAATTTAAAACTTCACAGGATCAGCTCTCTGATTAACATAAGGACTGGTTTTGAACAATGCAGAACTCCATTTCCAGGGGTATGAATAAAAACAAACCTATCATGAGAGAAATGTATATTAAAAAAAAACAGTTTTGGTCTTTTTTTCTCTTAATTTTAGTCAGCTTTTTGTTGGGAGGAGGGGGTAATTTTGTTTTTTTAACTGCCTAGTACTCACTGATCCACACGGTCTGTGCTCCTTCTGCTGGTCAAAGTGCTCTCCAACTCCTTCCCAGGACCTACCTTTCTGAATCCACTCAGAGAGGCCATTCTTCTGCACATGCGCAGAGCACACCAAAAACAGTGGTTGTCTTAAATTGCCTACTATCCACCACAAGCCAGAGGGAGATCAGAGAAAAGGAGAAATGAGTAACAGCTTCTAATGACGAAGTGCTGTGAGCAATGAAGAGAACTATCAGTTGAGGCTGCTGTGGTGTCCAAGATGGCTTTGTGTGTTATGCTCGAATTCGGGACCCCCAAAAGACCACCAGAGACCCAAGATCGATGTAAGCAGCAAAGAGGTGTTTATTGCAAGCTACCTCGGTCCTCCGCACACACAGCAACTGGTGACGCTCAGAGGCCCCGAGCCCAGGGTTTGCAGCAGTTTTATACATTCTTTGGAGAAGGCAGGGACCCCCACATACGTCATAGCATCTCTTAGCAAATCATCACACACCGCGGGAAAATCAAATAACAACTCTAAAACATGATTAGCACATTCACTGGTGGGAACAAGTTGGGTAAAGGTGATTGGTTACTACAAGAGGGGATTTCGTTTGAACTGATTGGTTTAGGCCATGAGGGGTGTTTGTGCTGAACTACATGGTTTCCCAACATGTTATCAACTACCATAAACTACTGGGAGGGTCATCTGGCATCCCAGGTATTTCCCTGTCTCATGCTGATTGGTGGCTGCTAGGGGGTTGCTATGGATCCCCACCTAGCCTGAGTCAGTCAGGGACACCTGGCATAGCAGATCTCTCCTGTTATTTGTAGATAAACAACTCAGCAGGGTGGGAATGTGCCTAGGAGTGCTCTGTGGGTCTTTCCAAGGACAAAGGTCATGTCCCTTCCTTGGACAGGCTTTGCTCTGAGGTAGAGGCTGGTTTTTCATGTGGAAAAGGTGAACACATGGACCAGGCTGGGAACCCATGGAGAGATGTGGAGAAGAAAGCATTTCTGGTCAGGAACCAGGAGGAGCAAGGATGTTATCCTTTATCAATGCTTATTCCCTGTAGCATTGTGTTGAGTATGAAACACATTCAGATTTATGTATTATTTGATTTTCTCTATGCCCTTGTCAGGTAAGCAAGATAGACATGTGGTCTTTATTTTAGAGAAATAGTAAAAAACAACAACAACAACAAAGGAGATGAAGGAAATTGGCTCAAGTCACTCAGTTAGCAGCTAAGCAGACTGGGTCTAGTTCTCAGAACTTCTGCAGACCCAACAGTTCAAGTAGGCCTCAAAGGACAAGTAAGTGATTTTCCCCGATGTACAAATGAGGAAACTGAGGACTCAAAACAAAAAGCAAATTTTCCAAAGCTACACAAAATCAGCCTTATTCTCCACTGAAGGTGCTTTGCGTTATATTAGCTGGAGAGGAAATGGAGAGAAAAAATTCTTTTATCACCGAGAAAGAATTTTGTCTCTTTGAGGAAACAAAAGATTTCCTAATTAATTAATTTATTTTTAATTAGGCATATATGATAACAGAATGCATTTTGATTTATTGACACAATTGCAGCACAACTTTGAATTTCTCTGGTTGTACACAATGTAGGGACACAGCATATGTGCAGCATATGTGTACCTAGGGTAATGATGACCATCTCATTCCACCATCTTTCCTGCCCCCAAGCACCCTTCATACTCTCCCTCCCTTTTGCCCAAAGTTCCTCCATTTTCCCATGCCTTCCCACTTCTAATGTTTAATTATTGATGGGGTAACAATCTGTTAGTACAGCTGCATTTTAAAAAAGGTAAATTTTTATCAATCAAGAAATTAAAAAAAAAATTTCTGAAAATGAAGTTGCCTAAGGAGATGGATCTATCTGGGGAAGGAAGTCTCCAAAATCTATATGCAGTCTTCAGAATTTGTATTGCCTCTGATGAAGTTTCAGGTCTTCATCAATCAGAGAATAAAAAGGTTTTGTTTTGTTTTTAATTTAAAACAAAACTACCTTGGCCCAAAGGATAACTAGTACATAATTTGGCATATATATATATATATATATATATATATATATATATATATTTTTTTTTTTTTTTTTTTTTTACACCAGAAATGGCATGGCTTGGGAAATGACTTGCTGAGAAATCTGTGTTTACATTAGGGAAAGTGAGGAAAAAAAAATCCCTTGCAGAGTTGAAAAGATGTTAAATGGTAAATACTAAAATGCCCAGCAAGCATATAAACAGGCTCCTATTCTAGCATGAATATGTGCAGCTCAGCATTTTAAAATTTACTTTTAGCTTTTCTAAAAGTTTGAATTAACCCCTTCTCTCCTCTGCTCTCCTTCTGAGAGTTCAGCCCTTAACCTGTAGATGTGGATTAGGGGTTCTGTCATGGTCTTTCTTGAATCACCAGCAGACAATCCCTTCACTCTAACAGTGATTCCCTATTTCATAAAGCCATCTCTGACCCATACGAGTAGGCTACTACCTTAGTCCACTTTATGTTGCTATAACAAAATACTTGAAACTGGGTAATTTATAAGGAAAGAAATTCATTTGGCTCATGGTTCTGGAGGCTGGGAAGTCCAAGGTCAGGCTGCTGTATCTAGAAAAGGCTTTGTGGCGCTTCAACTCATGACAGAAAGTAGAAGATAAATCAGCATGTGCAGAAGAGCAGAGGGGACAAAGGTGGCTGACCTGCTTTATAGCAACCCACTCCTATGAGAATAATCCAGTTCTGCAAAAAATCCATCAGTCCTTCTTGATAACATAGCCACTATTGAAAGGTCTCACCATTTCTAAACACCATTATATTGGGAGTCAAATTTCAACATGAATTTTAGAGGGGACAAACCATATTTAAACTATAGCAGCCACATGGTGAATAAATGCCCCCTAAATTTTCTTATTATTCATGTAAGACAACCCATGACTTATAGTTTTTGACTTTATGATGGTGTGAAAGGGACACACATTTAGTAGAAACCATACTTTAAATTTTGAATCATGATATTTTCCTTGGCTACTGATTTGCATTCCAATATTCTCTCATTGATGCTCAGCATCAGCACTGAGCTGCATTTTCCTGTCAAACTTGAGATTATTGGATAAACAACCAATATTCTACAGGATACTATGTTGCCAGGGTTGGAGGGACATTGTGTTTTGTGTTTTAGCATCTAATCATCTCTACATGATACCTAGCCGTGTGTGTTTGTGAGATATTCAACACTTTTTTTATACAACAGACTTTGTGTTAAGCTATCATGTTCAGCAAATTAGGTGAACTTTAGACCTATGGTATTTTCAACTTATTACGAGTTTATCAGGATGTACCCTCATGGTAAGTTGAGGAGCATCTGTGATGCCCAGATGAACATTTGAAAGCAAGTTCACCTTGCATAAAATTGTAAGGCAAAATAATACCTATCAATGCCACAATAAAAGTACATTTTAAAAAAGTAGGAGAGGTTATCCAGGTTTCCATCAGAATCACCCAGAGAGACTGTTTTAGAAGGTGGCCCTAGCATTTGTAACTGTAAAACATCCTCAGATAATTCTAAAGTACATCATTTGTTGAAAGAAACTAATCTAGATTGTCTCAAGGGCCAACCAAATTTTTCTCCTAATTTCAGTGCCTAATAAATTAAAATGAAAAAACAAACAAATAAAAAATCCCCAACAAAAGAAGCAATTAAAACAGACAATGGGGGTTGCGCTTGCCTAGCATGTGTGAGGCAGTGGGTTTGATCCTCAGCACCACATATAAATAAGCAAAATAAAGATCCATTGACAACTAAAAAATGTTTAAAAAATAAACAAACAAACAATGATGTACCATTGTGAGTGTGCGTGTGCATATGTGTGTGTATTTGTGTGTGTGTGTTGCTGGGGATGGAACCCAGGGTCTCACACATGCTAGGCAAGTGCTTTACCACTGAGACCCATCCCCAACCCCAAGGTTTATCTTAATATCTTACTGTTAAAACTTATTTATAAACTGAGTGAATAACAATTAATTATAAGAAAGGTGAACACTCGATGAATATTTGTATAATACTTTCCAATATTTTCTCATACATTAATAATCTTACGTGGTTCTCACAGAAACCTCCGAGTTAGCTTATTTTCTTAAAAAGATGAAGAAAATAAGTCTCAGGGATATGGAGATTTGCACAAAAAACTCCCTACTGCAGTAGAGCAATTATGGATTTGAGAATTGGAGGGACAAAATGAATATTGTTTTATTACTATAGGTAAAAAATTTAATGTTTAAATATTTTCTATAGTCTTAAAAAACTTCTAATCTATACCATGCTTTGCTTGTTAAAGCACATTACTTCACTTATAATAAACTATTGTGGCTGGGTACAGTGGCGCACGCCTGTAATCCCAGTGGCTCAGGAGGCTGAGGCAGGAGGATCATGAGTTCAAAGCCAGCCTCAGCAATAGTGAGGTGCTAAGCAATTCAGTGAGACCCTGTCTCTAAATAAAATACAAAATAGGGCTGGGGATGTGGTTCACTGGTCGAGTGCACCTGAGTTCAATTCCTGCTGCCCCAAATATTGTGCTTTTTCTTTAATCTGTTTCTTTCTCTCTCTCTCTCTCTCTCTCTCTCTCTCTGAATAAATTAGAAATAATTAATTTTTCCTGAACTTGATTATGGGAGAATAATTTAGTAAAGGTTATTATGTTTATAAAATTAGTTTTCAGGAACATATATATCCTGTACTTTAATTTTCATCACATTATATTAAAATGAATGCATAAATATATTTCTCCATCAATCTCCATATCAGAAAAAGGAATGTGAAGTGCTTATCCCAGAAAAAAATGACTTGTCAGTGCCTCAATGATGTCAGGATTTATAGTATTACTGAACTAGATTGATTTTTTGTTATTTACAGTGATTTGTATCTTTGACATGTTTTTTTCTAAAAATTCAGTATATCAAATATGAGTTGCCACAGACATTTTTTTCCTGGGGGAAAAAAAAATTCCATGTCAAATCTTGGCAATGTGGAATATTGCACAGTTTTGATCTCATTAAAACCAGGGCTGGTCAGGTAAACTCTTGATGCTCTTCATGCCACAATCTGTAAAATCAATAGAAGAATCTGAAAACAAGAACAAAACAAAAACCAAGAGAATAAAAACAAAACAACAACAACAAAACACACTGTTGACTGAGCAATAAATGATTATTTCAAGAATATCAGTGCTATTATAAAATTGTCTACACTTGTAGCTGGTTGAGTGCTACTTCAAGAAAGTAAAATGCTTCCTAAACAACTGGGTAGGGTATTGTTGGAGAACTAAAGAACAAGTGTTCAGCCATTAAAGATGAAAACAAACTTTCCAGATAGCAGGGATGTATCTAAGTGCAAGAGAAGCACCAGAATCTTTCTAACAGCAAAACATGAAATCTAGACTTTTCTTTTTACCTTGTCAAAGGGCATTTGACTCATCCTGAGAAGTTGCTATGGCATAACTGAAAGGAAGATTGAGCCCAACAACCGGCCCTACGATGCTCAGCCATGATGTAATATAGTTGATGTTCCTAGGAAACAAGAGAAATATGGAAAATATTAATATTTTCATTGTCATTTTTGGATGAATGGTGGAAAAGCAGTTAGTCACTGACAAGAACAAAAATGAGGCTTTCTTTAAGGAGGAGTGCCTACCTGGAATTCCAGCATTTCTGAATGCCAGCCCCATTATTTGACAAGAATTAGAAGTCCATAGAGGATGTGAGAATCCCTCACTAAGGAAGTTGAAGGACAAGATAAGCAAGGGGGTTCCTGACTCCCCTTGATGACTCAAAATTTATACCTGAAATTCACAGCATTTATTAAGGCAACAAACTTCAGTGATTAGGAGCATGGTTTTGAGGTAAAAATGTTTTGGATTCAAATTCCAGTTCCACCACTTAACTAGCTTTATGACCCTGGCAGAGTCTTTAAATTCCTTTGTGTTTTAGTTTCTTTCTCTATAAACTGAGTAATATAATGGCACTTAGTTCATAGGGATGTTATAAAAGTCCAATGTGTTAATATCTCTAAAGCTCTTAGAACAGCACCTAGCATATAGTAAAAATCAATGTTTTAGTCATTATTATCATATTTCTGTTTTAGCCTAGCTTTTGGAGTTACAGGAAAAGATTTACACTTTTAAAATAAGAGTAGGGGCCAATGTATCTTAAGGGTATTTCTTACCTATTGATTTTCTGAGAATTCTTTAATACAGGAGCCATGAATTCATTAGTCTTGCAGGGATGAAGTACAAAAAAGGGTTGCCCAAGTATTGGATGTTCCTGTAAGAACCAGAGTTGGTCCAGAATTGTCACTGAGGGTTACTTTGAAAAAGTTACGGTATACCTTATATATAAACAGAGATACGATAAATTGTGGTACAAAGGTGTATTAATAATTGTAGTGCAAAAAAAATAAGAGAGCTCATGTATAATGGCATAATTTGGCATGAACATACTTTATGTACAGAGTTATGAAAAATTGTGCTGTGAATGGATAATTATGAATGTAATTCATTCCACTATTGTCATGTATGTAAGAAACAAAAAAAATGAAAAAGTTACAGTAGATAATCTGGTTTACTTCTTCAAAATGAAGGGTTGTCTTGAATTCCAAGTTACTGAATTAGCATACAGGTTGATTTCCTATTTTGAAATATAATTTATAATCCAAATGTGAGAGGTTGGTGAGAATGAAAATTCATTGATAAAGGAGTATTGTCAAGAATAGTGAGGCGCATGGATTTACAAACTATAGATGATTTTTTTCAGTTTCCTCTGTTTGTTGGCTAATCTATCTTTTTGGACTGCAATTCTCTTTTAGTTTGTCTTCAGGGATGTCCAGGAAGCCCAGTATCTTGACTATGCATTTCACTCATCTCTGTCAATGGTAAAGGAATCAAAATCATCCCCTACTCTCAATTTCTCTTTTCTGTTTATTTCCTTGGTTTCTCCCAAGCTTACAGGCTGTTCCTATATGGTAAAATCTCATATGATATAACTCCATTTCCTTTATAAAAGAATAATTGGATATAAGGTATAGGTTAGACTGCTGCTGGTTTTGAGATGGCCATCGTTTAGTAAGCAATAGGAAGCCCTAGAAGGCTTCTATATTGTAAGTAAACTTATACAAAGATTATCAACACACAAAAAATTTATTGATGATAAGTTCATCAATTTTACATTGTGGATTAAAAAGTGTGGCACACACCACAAATTCAAATAGCTATGGTGTCCAGCCAGATGACCCAAAGGGGGAATGACAGTTAAATACACCAACAGCAAAAAGGACTACCACCAACAGTTTGGACCAGCTGGAGAGAGCTGCCATCTAAGGCCATGCTTGCTACTCTGCTCCAGCTGATAGTGCCATGTGGGAAATTGAGCCCAGCATGCCAGACCTCATTTGTCAAGGAATTGTAATGCAAAAAAAAAAAAAAAATAGTGTTACCTTAGATTAGGTAGAGGGAACTGAAAGGAGGGGAAGGCAGGGGATATGGGGATAAGAAAGATAGAAGAATGAAACAAGACATTATTACTTTATGTATATATGTGACTATATGACCAGTATGATTCTATATGTATACTCAGAAAAATGAGAAATTATATCCCATCTATGTATGCTATATCAAAGTATATAAGTGCACTCTACTGTCATGTATAAGTAATTAAAACAAATAAAAAATTTTAAAAAATATGCCAGAAGATCAAAAGTTCATGTAAAGCCTCCTATATTTAAATATTGGTACATTTTTAAAAACATAGGTGAGCCAAATACAACAGCTGTATTTGAACTAGAGGCTGCCCAGCTGCTTCTCTTGACTTCTCTTAGCCAACTCGCTGAGAGCTAAACTCAGATCTGCTCATGGGAAGAATCATGTGGTTGTTCCTGCTGCCTCCACCCTCAGCCCCAAGCATTCACATCTGCATGCATGGGCCTACACTCACTCGCAAGAACTGGGACAGCCAGTTGCATTTGTATTGGTGACATTGGGAGTGGAGATTTGGGGGTTTGTGTGGAGGGAAGAGTTGTCCATTAATAATAGACTGTTGTATGATTCTGTGTGCCCGGCCTGGCATTTTTTTCTCCCCAAATACCACCTCTAAACATCTCTGCCCAGTAGCTTGATTTTTCCAGCTAAGGGTCAGCCTCCTCCATCCAGCTCTTTCTATCTCACATTCCCAGCCCTAACTGGACTCTGGGGTCACAGTTCAGATGTTAGTTATGCCTATGGCAAGTCTCCCGTCCAGTTTTATTCTGGTTTCTCTTATCTGCCTTAAATTAATATCTATTTTATATATTATATATAATATAAATTATATATATTATAAAATTCATCTTTTATCTGTTTGCCAAGAACAGTTCTGAATATAGTTATAGAGATAAGCAAAGTCTCTGATCTCATGGAACTGATTCCAGTATAGGAGACAGCCAACAAACACGGATAAATACACAAGATAATCCAGATAGTAAGTGCTATGGGAGAACCTAAGAGGGTAATAAAATTCTGGAGGGATCAAGGTGATATTAGATTTGGTGAAAAGGAAAGCCTTACTGAAGATATGTGCAATGGTAATATTATAATGGTAAATATTTATATCCCTCAACCCAGATTCAGGTGATGAAATCCTAACTCCCAAGGAGTTAGTATTAGAAGGTGGGGTCTTGGTTAGGTTTTGATGGGAAGAATGTTCTCAAAAATGGACCCATTTCACTCCCTTCTTGTTGTGAAAGTACCCAGCAAGAAGACAACCATCTATGATCTTACACTCCCTAGCCTATAGAACTGTGAAAAAATAAATGTTGTTTAAACCACCCATTTTCTTATGTTTTTGTTGTAGCAGCCTGAACAGACTAAGACAAGGTAATATTTTTACAGAAATCAGAATGACAAGAAAAAGCCAACTGTGCAGAGATCTGGGGACACAGTGTTGAGGCCAGAAGACCCTAAAAGAAAGTGAGCATAATAAATGTGCAAAGGAAGCCAGGTGTGGTGGCACACACCTGTAATCCCAGCAACTCAGGAGGCTGAGGCAGGAGAATCACGTGTTCAAAGCCAGTCTCAGCAAAAGGTGAGGTACTAAGCAACTGAGTGAGACCCTGTCTCTAAATAAAAATACAAAATAGGGCTGGGAATGTGGCTCAGTGGTTGAGTGCCCCTGAGTTCAATCTCCAGTACCAAAAATTAAAAATAAATAAATAAATAAATAAATAAATAAGCAAAGGAAATACAAAAGAACTTTAGAGTTATTCTGGGCCAAAATAAATACTGTTTAGAGGGTTGAGATCTGAAAAAATAAATGTAGTCTAAATTCATTTTGGATAACTCATACAGTTTTTAGTGGAAGTAATAGCAACCCATATAGCAACTCAATCATACTGATATGAAGACATATTACATTCTTGATAAAGTAAAGCCTAGATCTCAATGATTGCCTTGGACAGAAACACTTATAATGGGGAGAGCCATGTTAATTATATAGCCTCCACTCTGTCCACTCTCTCTCACTCCCCTTGGAGATTAGCATGGCCACTTTCATATTGATCTCATAGGGAAACTCCACCAACATTGACCATTCTTATCTGGCTTCCCACAGCTGAGGCACAACAGACTGTTCAAGTAAGATTTTACTAAAAACTTGGGAATACTGAACATGGTAATATTGTGTTCTTAAAGATCCCGACTGGCTCTCAGGCTCCTTTGAGTCATGTGAAACACTGGCTAGGTCTTCCCTTCCTGGCCTATATATGATGGAAACACAACTCCCACCTAAGAGGGTCTTCAAGAATCATCACCCCTCACAATTGAGTTTCCTTAGGAACTTAGTGACTCTTATAAGGAATGGGTTCATGTACAGTCAAGACCTTGCTTGCCTCTTGTTTACGGGTGTAGGGCCTACCTTTTGAAGACCTCAAAAAAATAACACATGCCCAAGAGGCACACAGACATTCACAGTTCAGAAGGCCATTTTCTCAGAACAGACTTAGGATCAGATCACACTGTATCTCTGCTCACTTGATGCTGCTTAGTGAAGACCTGAACTTTACTTCTATAACTTATCATTTGCCCATTCCATATAACAAGTAGGTAACAGTATGCCTGAGCTCTGCCTGTAGTTAAGACTCTTTGGGGCCAAGTCCTATTCCACCACTTAGTAACTGTGAGTTTAAGGGAAAATTTGTTAAGCATTTTATGTTTCTTTTTTCTTATCTGATAAATGAGGCTACCACAATATCTGCCTCACAGATTGTGACCCTTCACTGAGATCAAGTATGATGAATAGTGCCTAACAGAGAGCAAAAACCTAACTGGCTATTCTTATCCAACTCCTTCATATCCAACAGACAAAAATGAAAGCCATTCAGAAGGTGGTCTTATGGTAAAATCAGACCTTAAAAACCTTATAGTACATCTATCCTTAACTTCATTGAGACCTCATGTCTATGTAATTAAATAGAATATATTAAAATAACTGTCTTTAATAATTGGAAGTTTAAACTTCAGTTGGATTTTAAAATAAAAATATATCATTTTGGTAAAATGCTTTTGGTTAAACAAGATCAAGCTATGAAATGTTGATCAGCTTAAAGTAGGAATTGTTTTATATATATATATATATATATATATATATATATACACACACACACACACACACACACACACACATAATTTCTCTCTCTCTTTTTTTTTACATTAGAATGCATTTTGACATACTATATATAAATGAAGCACAATTTCTCATTCCTCTGGCTGTACATGGTGCAGAGTCATACTGGTGATGAATCATACATGTTTATAGAGTAATAATGTCTGTCTCATCTACTGTCCTACCCATCCAAACCCTACCTTCACTGCCCTCTACACAAACCAAAGTTCCTTCATTCTTCCCTATCTCCCCTCCCTCACTGTGGATCAGCATCCACTTATCAGAGAAAACATTTGGCTTTTGGTGTTTTGGGATTGGTTTATTTTACTTTGCATGATATTCTCAAGTTCCATCCATTTACCTGCAAATTCCATTTTTCTTTAAGGATAAGTAATATTCCATTGTGGATATGTACCACATTTTATTTATCCATTCATCTATTGAAGGGCATCTTGGATAGTTCCATAGTTTAGCTATTGTGAATTGAGCTCAATAAACATTGATGTGGCTTTGTCACTGTAGTATGCCGACTTTAAGTTCTTTGGGTATAAACCCAGGAGTGTAATAGCTGGGTCAAATGGTGGTTCCATTCCAAGTTTTCTGAGGTATCTCCATACTGCTTTCCATAGTGGCTG